GAGAGAGAAAATACGGAGCGCGAGGGAATTTTTCAACGTTAGGCATGCAAACGTTCAGTGCTGCGCCTCGATCGTTACAAGAATTCGAATTACTCCAAGTATGGCTCTGGATTGTCCGTAGGGCGCTTCGAATTTTAAACATTAATCCCCCTCCTTTCCTCTGCCGTTCCTAACGTCGGTCCCTGCATCCTCGCGAGTCGTGGTATCGCACGGTTATCTGAATTTTATTTTTTCCGATTAAATAAACAACGAGCATACAGTAAATAAAAACATGGGGAAGCGATTTTCGCAAGTACGATAGCGTATCACGCACGCGCGACGAGAGTGTTTACGATTCCCAGTTTTTCCTAGTATATCAGTGCAACAAAAAAACAAAAAGGAAAGTCTCTCTCTCCCTCCTCCTTCCCCTCGTTCCCTCTCAAACTAGGATATCAATCACCGGTTATTCCAATATCGTCAGATCTAGCGGCGAAAAGCGAACGCTGCAGTTTACCGACCTTCTCTCTCTCTCTTTTTCTCTCTAACCCTCGTAAAAACCACGACGAGTATACACGACGGGTAAACGGAAGTCGAGGAAGCAGCACGAAGGCAATTTTCGAGTTCCCGTCCGTCCGTGGGAAACGCTCGAGAGGAGATAGACGAGGGAGCCTGCGCGTCCTCTTCTCGCAGGATGCATTAGCAAAAGTTTACATCGAACGGATTATGATTATGAAGGCGAGCTCGCGCGACACTCCCCAGTGTAACGGCGAGTCACGGATGAATCGGCTTATGAATTTTCCCGTGGAGCCGGTTAATCCCGCCGCACGCTCGGCCGACGCGTCCAAGGAACGAAGGAATCGTCCGTTCGCGTCGTCGTTGCAAGTTGCCGCTTAAAAGGGAAAAGAGAAGTTCGCGGGAGAATAAATTCCGTTGCGGCGCTTCGCGACGACGGAAGGCGCGCGAGAGAGCACAGGCCCGCGCAACACACTTTAACTTAATTAACTCGGCTAAATTGCGCCACGTAAGTTACGTAATGCGCTTCGAGTTTATATCGCCGGCGACCGAGCGCACAGAAGCGCCCTGAAATTGCTCATTAATAGCGGCAATAACGTTATAATTAGCGGGCCGCGCGCGCTCGCGCGAGCGGGCCCGCCCGTGTCGTCGTTTCGCGTCGTCTCTCTGTAGCGAGATCGCTCGCGAAAGCACCTACTTATGACTCTCGTGCCCGACACAACGACCAACTGTCGTGCACAGGGTGCTCCGTTTAAGTGGAACACGCTCCTCAGAGCGCGATCGCGAGCCAACGTCCCGATACTGAAACTGTCGAAGCTCCCCTCTACCGGCGAGTGACCGTAAACGAAAGGTGGAATGACGCCCGAAGTTTTACTTTCGTATAATAACCGTAACCGGACGTAATTACCCCGTACGGTGGAACTTAGAAAAGCGTAACTGCCCCTGCGACCTCGTGCCCCCCTTTTCCTTTGCCGCAGTTGGAAGGGAAATCGGAGACTTAGGAGAAATAGAAGAGGTAATCGATGAAATTCTAGCAGTCTTCACTTCGAGGCCATTAATTGTTTCGATGTAGATAACGAATTGAATACTAAATGGCTTGCCAAACTCTCACGGATGCACACTCGACACAGATTGAAGGAGCCAATAAGAGATAAGGTAAGGTGATCGCGAAGCACACCATACAGTAACAAGTGCACTGAGAGAAAATATATCTAAGAAATAAAATATATATTTATTCAGTGGACACTAATAACGTGTACTTGCTTAATATATTCATTACCAACGTCACGTATGTGTGACACAATGATTCCTCGTTAGAGACCAAAGTTGCGAGTAATAAACCACTTTTCTAATTAATTATATCGAGTACAATTGACAACTAATATGAGCTCCAATTCAATTAAAGATCGTTCAATTAAAGATCGTTCAATTGACGACTGATACGAGCAAATTAAAGATCGTTCAATTAATCATTGAACTTAGCATATTTGGTATTAAAGGTCGTTTAATTGACAATTGAATTTGGAAAATTTTATTAATGGCTATTTAATTGACGATTAATGCAAATCTAATCGAAGATTGCTCGGTGACGATATGACCAGTGCCTCTCCTACCCCTCCCCCACTCACCAAAATATGCGGCTCCTACTTAGCGCTTTTCAATCATCGGCATCTGTCATAATGCCTCGAATATTGATATTATCCACAAAACCAATTATAATCTTTTGAGTAAACGAACGCTTTTCGATTGAATCGGATCAGTTTGTTTGTATCGTTTGTCAATTAAGCAACTTTTAATTAAATATGCTAAATTCAATCGTCAATTAAACATTTTTCGATTGGTTTTGCTCGAATCAACCGTCAATTAGTGAAACATATTCGTTCAAAGCAATTATTAAATTAAGGAAGATTTTATTGATATTTTTACAACTAGAGAGCAGCGTTATATATATGTTTGACAGCAATATTTTTTTTATATCCATATTACTAAATAAAATCTGTTTTGCACAATTGTAAAAAAAGAGAGAGGTATGTAGCTAACTGGAAGAGGAGAAGAGTCCTCTAAATAAATCATTGTAACGAATGTATTAAATTTAAATTATTTTATTTAAGCAAAATAAAAAATTGCTTTTATGAAAAGCTAAACTTTTTGTAAAGCCGAAATATATATTTATTTGAAAAATTTGTGGTAGTATAAATAAATATATTTATTATATATAAATTATATATAAATTATTAGTATCCACTGAAACAAAGCTTTCATTTTTTATATGTTTTTTCTCTTAGTGTAGATATTTTCATCATTTATTTTATTCAGCATTTATTGATATTCTTTAAAATAAATTAATTTTGATTGATTTTTAGTTAATAAGAATATCAATAAACTTTCAATAAAGCTTTCAATAAAGCTTCTCAATAAAATAAAATATACTTCTAAAAAACTTTATGAAAACTCTCATCATCATGTATTCCAAAGAAGAATTTATTCCCTTTACAGGGATATCATAAAACTTTTTTAAAAAAAAAGTATAATTCGACTCCATGTAGTAAGCAAACTGAATTTTCATTTTAACTTAATACTCTTAATTGAAATGCTAAGCTTATTAGGGTTCAGAATGTATTTTGAATAAATTTGATGTTTATGATGTACTCAAGACAGAAAAAACTTATTTTGGATGCATCAACTTATAAGACACTTGAAACAAGTAACATTCACCCGAATGCAGAATGTATTTTTTTGTGTGTACATTCTGTGCACGTATGTTTCGCAATCGACGATTTGCGTGGGCACTCATCGGTTTTGTTAATTCACATTCGATGCGCTACACTGCACTCAAAAAAAGAACTAGCTTCCAGAGCTAAAAAATAGCTGTGACAGATAAGATGTGTCACCGAAATAGGGACAGCTAATGTTGATACTACCAAAGCTAAGTTTATTCGCTGTTTAAACTTGGGCACTACAGCGAGAAATATTAGCTGCTAGAAACAAATGACTGTAGCAAACGATTGTGCGGCAAACTTCTTTAATATATGCATATGATAAGAAATTTAGGAATAACTGCCATTTTCTTAGCTATTTGAAATAATGTGCATTTTTAATGTCACCTAATATATTTGTATAGCGAATGCATTTTAGCTGTTATAGCCAATTCTTAGCAGTGACAGCTAAACGATTAGCCTTTTGACTAAGTTTGAATCAGCTATTGCGGTTTAGCTGATATTACTAAGTCATTCTTTTGCGTGTGTTATTGTCAGTGTACTTCAAGGCGACTTCTATGTGGCGACGTGTTCGATATAACTGACAATTATTCAGAGCACCTCTCCGCGAAAGTCACTTTCTCGAAATATGCGTTATTCTCGCCGCGGCAAGGGCTCGGGCCCGACACAATCAATAATCGCGCCACTTACAATTAGCCAAGCCGCTCGTCCCGTTAATTAATCATCGCGGCTCGGCGTATAAAGGTTAAGGCGACAGAAATTAGACGGGCGCGATTCGCGAAAGTTATTCGCGAACGCGAGCGAACGAGGTGACGAGGAGGAGGCGGCGGGCGAGATGACGAAGTGCTCAACTAATGCAATTAGCCCGCAGAAGGTGGCGCATGTCAGCCTTCTGAGAGTGTAGCCGGCATTGTAACGAAATCCGACGCGCTTTGTAATTACCACGGTTAGGATTTACGTAGTCATAAAAGTACGCCGTATGTACACGCGTATATATGCGCACAAAAACCGCGTGTTTCTGCAAAATACGTAGCGAAACATGTTTCTCCCTACGGCGGGGGCTTACCTCGCCGTGCCGTAAGTAATTTTACACTCGTAATGCGAAGAGCTTCTTTCTCTCGCCCGTCCCTCCCTCCTTCCCTCCCACTGTCTGTCGGTCTGCTCGTCTCTTCCCTCGGGATCGTTCAAGGTTTAAAACAGTCATTTATAAATTTTAATGCGAAGCTCTCCTCTCCCCCATAGTTCGCTTTCGCGTGGGCCGGTGTGATTTTGCAAAGTTACTTTGCAAAATATTGCAAAATCGCGAGACGAGCAGTCTTTCGTGCACGACGGTGTGCATGGGATGTTATTAAAATACTTGGGCGAAGTTCGCGGGCGTATTCTTTAATCAATTTTAGAGTCGACCTTTTCTCTCTCGGCGAAAAATTAATTAGACGTCCACCTTTCTCTCCTCGCGCAGCTCCTTAAATTTTCTATCTTCGACGTCTCTTGGATACTAAGACCGGAATTAAAATTCTATTAAAGTCCACTCAAAACTAAACGCGGAGGTGGATCTTGTTAACTGTTTTCAACGTCGAGATTCTCTGTTCGCCAAGCAGTATCCATTCTTCCGAACTGTCTCGACATTTTCGAAGGGGGAGGGAAGGGAATGCGCTTTCGATCGATTGACGCGCGCTCATCCACGTGTCGGAATTATTCGAGATATAAAAACGAGAAGGGCGATATCAAGTATCAATGGGAGAAGACTTCGCGACGAGGCACGAAATATCGTTTGTCATAATTCATACTAACCTACGTGAAAGCCGACGAGATATCTGAGCTCGGGATCAACTCCCAGACGAGCGCGCCGGGACACTTCCTGGTAGCCGAGCCTTTGAAGAAATTGATCCTGAATCTCCAGCGGCTTCTCCTGGAGCGCCAACCTCCTGCCTGGCTCGCCGCCATACTGGAATATGAATTCGCAGAATGTTTATTTTAACGTCGAAAAAGAAGCACGACGCACAGGCGGCGTCGCGCTCGCAAAAGGAACGCGCGAGAGGAACGCGCTGTTCCTGAGAGGAAAAACGGAGAATTGTCTGCGAGTTGCAGGCGAAATTTTTGCGCGCCATTAGACATCTTCAACTGCGACGGACGTGCGAGAAGGTATCTCCTTATTTATATTTTAACGCTCTGAGGCGCGCATATATTCTTGAAATCTCAGAGTCACTTTCTTAGAGATTTCACTGAAAGCTACTAAGGCTAATTGAAATGCAAATCGCGATCTACGCGAATTATGGAATTTGATCGAGTGCGCTTTGATCGCTTTTTGTTTTGTTTCGCCGTCACTTTCCGCCTCGCGGCGGCAGTAGCGATAATGAACGGCGAAAGCTTTCAGTCAAATTAAAGTAGGAGCCCAATAGACAGCCGATATTAACCTTTAGAGGGCCGGGATTTGAGAGGGCATATTCGCCTTAGTAAAGTGGTAAAAAAGGTATCTTATATCATGGATTGACCATACACTAAGTATCGATCATGAGTAGCTTTCCGGTCCGGAAGAGATCAGCCCGTATATAAAATTTCAAATTCGAAAAAAATACTTCTTTCACATCAATTTGAAAGTGTAAATATGCGTTTCCGATATATTTTTCGATGTAGAATCCAAATCTGATGTCAAAAATACAATAAACCTGAAAACAACCCCTATAAAATTACAAAAACTACCACTTTTATCACGCAATTTTAATTTTTTTTATTTGAAAGTGCAGATATATGTTTCCGATGTATTTTTCGATGTAGAGTCAAAATCCAATGTCAAAAACACAATACATCTGGACATAACCCCTATAATATTACAAAAACTACCCCTTTTATCACGTATGATTTCGAAACACCCTCTTCTTTTGAACACGGGCTTGGGACCGGCTGTGGCAGAAATATGTTTCTTTTTTTTTATTTTTTTATTTTTTTTATTTTTGATTGTTCTTGTTTTTTTTATTTTTTTTGTTTTTTTTTGTTTATTTTCCGATTTTTTTTAATTTTTTTATTGTTTTGTTTTTAATTTTATAAATTACGACAATGATCGTTTGGTGTGATAAATTTCAAAGCAAGGTTCAATGCATAAAGTTTTACAACATACTTTACACTCATATGATGATCGACTTCTCTTTTTGTGTATACTGCATAGAACACATTGACGTGATACCGTTTTACTATCATCTGAAGCTTGAATTTTTCTGGGGAAATGTCGTCCATTTAGTAGATTAGACGAAATAAATGATGAAACTTCTTGAGAATTTACTTTCAAAATATCTCTTACGACGCTCAATCGAAAATCAGGAAACGAAATCGCATTTTTAGTGAGCATCTTGAATAAACTGTGGGCATTTATCAATATCAAATTAATCAAATGAAAAAACAATTTTCTATACCATTTCATACATTTTCTAATAGATTCTGTCAAAGATAATTGTGTGTCGATATCATCGATTTTGCCCATATTTTTTTTATAATCCACGATACAAACGGGTTTTATAATATCTTCATTGGTTTTGTAGTTTTTCCTACCAGTTTTACAAAACTGGTGTTCGTGAATACTTGTCAATACATAAACTTCCTTTTTATCCATCCATTTGATTACCATCCAAGAATCGGTGTGGGCAACTTCTGTTTCACCACGATTTAGCTTTGAACTAAGAGTTGGCATTCCTTTACGATTTTTTTTTACAGTTCCACAAAGACCAGTATTTCTGTCATGTAAGTAGTCTGACAGTTGTGGAGATGTATACCAATTATCAGTGTATAACACACGCCCTTCGTTACAATAAGGTTGCATGAAATGTGCAACAATGTCACCAGAAACGCCTAAATCAAATTTCTCATAATCAGTGTCTGAGCCAGTATATACTATAAAATCTAAGAGAAATCCTGTTTCGCAGTCCGCTAATTCAAATATCTTGATACCAAATCGATGTCTCTTCAATGGTAAGAATTGTTTGAATATTAGCTTCCCCTTCCATAAGACTAAACTTTTGTCAATGCAAAGCTTTTCACCAGCAATAATAGTATTACTAAACTTTTCTTTCAAATGATCTATCACTGGTTTGATTTTTTTCAAAGGATGATTGGAAACTTCTTCATTATTAGAAAAGTGAAGGTATCGTAAAATTTGAAGATATCTATTTCGAGATAGACTTTCGCCGTATATTGGAGTGTATAGCAGTGGATCTCGGCTCCAATAATCCTTTAGTTGCCCTTTTACAACATGACCCATGTTTATTGATAAAGCAATGATTATCCATAATTCGTCTTCAGTGATAGGAGTCCACGGCTTCATATGTATTCGATCCGGTTCGGGATTTTGTTCTTGAAAAAGATTGGTTTGTTCTACAATCAAATTTACAAGAAATGTATCAAAAAAATATTTCAAACATTCTAATGGAGTAGGTTCGTCTAGAGACACGTGATCACGAATATGTGCTTCACCAGTAAAAGTTTTTATAGATGGGTAAAAATAAGGATCATAGTGTACATCTGGTATATTCTTATCACGTTCGTTATCAAGTAAATCGACATCACATGCAATAGTTCTATCTGTAATAACATCTTCTTCAGGCTCTGACTCTCCACTACTCCAAGCTTCGTCATCACCTGTATTCATTGTATAGCAAAAGTAATAAAGTACGAGGAAGATAGAAAGTAACGGAAAATGTT